AAGGCAGAAGAATCCCTTGAACCTGGGAGGCAGACGTTTCAGTGAACCGAAATCACACCACTGCACTCTAGCCTGGGCAACAGAGTGAGACTCTGTCTCAAAAAAAAGAAAAAAAAAAAGGGTGGGCACGGTTGCTCATGCCTGTAATCCCAGCACTTTGAGAGGCCAAGGCTGGCAGATCACCTGAGGTCGGGAGTTTGAGACCAGCCTGACCAACATGGAGAAACCCGGTCTCTACTAAAAATACAAAATTAGCTGGGTGTGGTGGTGCATGCCTGTAATCCCAGCTACTTGGGAGGCTGAGGCAGGGGAATTGCTTAAACCGGGGAGGTGGAGGTTGTGGTGAGCCGATATTGCGCCATTGCACTCCAGCCTGGGCAACAAGAGTGAGACTCTGTCTCAAACAAAACAAAATAAATAATAATATGGAATGTGTTCAGCCCCCATTTGCCCGCTCTCTGTTTGCCCTTCTGCCATGGGCTGATGCAACAAGAAGGCCCTTGACAGATGCTGGCCCCTTGATCTTGGACTTTCCACCCTCCAGGACTATGAGAAGTATATATATATATATATTCTTTGCAAATTGCCCAGTCTCTTGTATTCTGTTTTAGAAGCACATAAAGGAACTAAGACAGTCTCTCTAAACTGTGAAAATGATCTAGGATTTCTAAAAGCTAAAAACTGTTTCAAAACTTAAAAAAAAAAATTATGGCTACCATACAGGAACTCCTAAACTAAGTTGGCCTCCTTTAATATTTTTTTAAATCAAGGACTATTTTGGGAATGTGGTAGGAATACAAAGTACAAAAGAATAATATAAGCAGTACCCCAATATACTTCCTACTCAGCTTAAGAAAGAATATATTTTAAATATACTTGAAACTGCATGTGAATCACTCCAGGATCTCTTTCTACTTCTTCCTCCCCGCTGGTAACCATTACACCGAATTTGGAGTTTATGATGCCCATCCGTGCATCTATACTTATGCTAAATCTCTATGACTGTTTTTAAACATTCTATAAATGGTACCATACTCTGTATCCTTCTGCCACTTGCTTACTTTGCTTAAGTTTTTTAAAAGTTTTTGTTTTTTTTTTTAATGTTTAAACTTTTATGTAGACAAACATCGAAGATTTACTCTAAGGTATATAAATCTAATGGACCTAGGGTAGGGAAGTTCTCAACTTTCCTCGATAATGCCAAATTTAAGCACACATAGAAATTTATACCATAACCAACCGGCATTAGGGCTCACATTTCCCTAACATCCTGGCTAACAAGTGATATTGTCAGATTTATACATACTGGTTAATCCGAATAGTGTAAAGTGGTATATCATAGTTTTAGCTAAAAATCATCTTTTTATATGTTTCAAAAATATGTTTATTGGCCATTTGTGATTCCATTTTTGTGAATAATCTGTTCATATCCTATGCAATTTTTAAAATCTCTTTTTCTTAAAGATAGTTTGAGTAGTTATATACACTGAATATATATTCTATATTGGTTGCATGCATTGCTCCCTGTCTGTGATTTCTTTGTTCATGGTATCTTTCATATTTATTCATATATTTATTATTTCCAGTGCTATATGCTCCTTCCTACAGATTCATTTGGTTTCATTTCCCTTCAGCCTAAAGATTTTAACATTTCTTGTAGAGAAGTTCTGCTGGCAACAAATTATCTCAGTTTTTATTTATCTAGAATCCTCTTTACTTCACCCCTCATTTTTGAAGACATTATCACTGGATATAGAGTTCTTAGTTGATTGTTTCTTTTTCTTTCAGCACTTTCACGTCATTCCATTATCTTTTGGCTTCCTTCTGATAAGTTAGCACTCATTCTTTCCCCTGATGTATCTTCTTTCCTAGGCTGCATTTATGACCTTTTCTTGTATTTCTGTTTTTCACCAATTTCACTATGATGTGCCAAGAGATAATTTCTTTGCATTTATGCTTCTTGGGTTTTGCTGAGCTTCCCGGATCTGTGAGCTGTTTTTTATTTGTTTGTTTGTTTGAACAGATTTGAATAATATTTGATCACTAATTCTTCAAATATTGTCCCTGCAATATTATATCTCTCCTCTCCTTTTGGGACTCCAATTAAAAGTATTTAGACCACTCAAGGCTGGGTGCGGTGGCTCACACCTGTAATCCCAGCATTTTGAGAGGCCGAGGAGGGCAAATCAGAAGGTTAGGAGTTTGAGACTAGCCTGGCCAACATGGAGAAACCCCATCTCTACTAAAAATTAAAAAATTAGCGGGGCATGGTGGAGCACGCCTGTAATCCAGATACTTGGGAGGCTGAGGCATGAGAATCGCTTGAACCCGGCAGGCAGGGGTTGCAGTGGGCTGAGATTGCACCACTGAATTCCAGCCTGGATGACAGAGCAAGACTCTGTCTCCAAAAAAAACCAAAACTTTAAAAAAAAGTGCTTAGAACACTCAATGTTATTATACAGGTCACTGGAACTATTAATGACTTAATCTTTTTCTTGCCTCTGCTTCAATTTTAATGATTTCTAATAACTTGTTTTCAAGTTTATTGCTCTTTTACGATATTCTGTCCTATCTGCTGTTAATCTGATTTGATGGCATTTCAACTTCAGATACTGTACTTTTCAGTTCTAGAACTCTCATTTGGTTATTTCCAGTTTCCAAATATCTCCTATAATTCCTCATATTTTCACCCATTATATTCATCTTTTCAAGTAGATTCTTTGATATATTTATCCTTGTTATTTATATGTCCTTGTCTAGTAATTCTAAACTCTGTGTTATCCATAGGTTTATTTCTATGACTAATTTTTTTCTTAATTATAAGTCACACATTTCTATTTCTTCACCTCTTTAGTAGTTGGTGTTTTTCTGTTTTTTGTTTTTGTTTTAATAAGACAGGTCTTATTATATTGTCCAGGCAGGTCTTGAACTCCTGGGCTCAAGCCATCTTCCCATCTCACCCTTCTGAGTAGCTGAAACAATGGGCACATGCCACCACACCCAGGTTCCTTAGTACTTTTCATGGTGTATTCGACATTTTGGATAATAAGCTGTAGAGAGTTTGGATTTGTTGTCCTCCTCTTAGGAGTATCTAGCTTTTAAATAAAAGGCAAATAAATATTGGTGGTTCACCTTAATCACCAAAGGCTTATCCCACTGTTTCCAGGTCCTCTGGAGGACCTCAAGCTTACTCTCAGGCTAATAAGACTATGATTTCCTCCTAAAGTTCTATCTGTCCTACTCCCTGCAGACAAAGGAATGCCCCAAAAGAAAAGCAATTTGAATGTGGATTTTATCCTGTGTGGTATACTTCATCCAAGGATGAAAACCTCTCCAGTTTCTGGCTACTTTTAGTCACTCTTCGGTGCTTTCCAACTTTTTTCCAACATTTATAATTGTTATCAACAGGAAGATCAGCACAATAGAATCTGCTCTGCTGTTTCTAAAAGCTACTATGAGCAGAAGCCAATTTTCATGCAGAACATTTTATCAATCTTATCTTTTATGATGCATGGCATTTTTAAACCTTGTTTAAGAAATCTTTGCCCCAGCCAGGGCAACATGGTGAACCCCTCTCTCTACCAAGAGTACAAAAAATTAGCCGGGCATGGTGGCACACACCTGTGGTCCCAGCTATTCAGGAGGCTGAGGTGGAAGGATCACTTGAGCTCAGGAGGCAGAGGCTGCAGTGAGCCGAGATCATGCCACTGTACTCCAGCCTGGGTGACAGAGCAAGACCCCATCTCGGAAAAAAAAACAAAAAA